ACTAACGCTCATACATATATATAATACCTAGTCCGTATAGTATAGATCTAAAAATCGGCCTATACGTACTGTACTATACTAATCTACCCACCTATACTATACTGATCTGCAAAATACTTTTTTTTTTTTGATGCAGCTAGAAGGGTTTTTATATATAGATATCAAGAAAACAATTTATGTAGTATGTAGGCTATATATTGCTCCGCTCGACATCTTAATATGACAATTATGGAAAGTAATAAAAAAGATAAAGATGGAAATTGAGATTCAAGGAAATCGGATCGCCAAACGATTTTCATTGGGATTGATTATATAGGTCGAGACGAGGAATATCATGTTAAATATTTATCATCATGAATTAGATCATTTTTACGGGGTCTACAACCTCGTCAGGTTTTTGAACATTGTTGGATAACTTTATTTTCTAAATTTATATTTTGATATTACATAAAGATAATTCGTACTTTATTCCTTTACGTCGACTGGAAGGTTTTAATCAAATTTAGTTAGACTTTTATGAATATTATGTTATACTTAAGCGGGAAATAGGGTTACATATTAACTTTTTAATTAAAAAAAAAGCCGGTTTTCAAGCCTGTTTGGTTATTTAGTGTTTATATTAGTATAATATAATTTTATAAAATAATATCAGCATATTTGCTAACTGCACGTTATTTCGAAACAATATGTCATTATTTAATAATTTAATAATGATTGCAAAGTGAATAAAACTGCGGAACCATATAATTGGTTTAAAATATGCTTTAATTTATCCAAGGCACGTGTTATTTAACATCGAGTTTATTTTGAAAAAAATTAGATACGTATAAAAACTTCATTATAAAAAATTTTATTATCGCAAAAAAACTTTAATAGACTAACAATCCTTAATCTTTATACTTCAGAAAGTATAAGCTCAACAAAATTATAAAATTTTTTTTTAAAAAAATTTATGCTGCTCGATCCATAGTTTTATAATAAAAATCTTTGACGACTTGACGAGTTTGGTTTCTTAAATCCTTACTCAACCGTTTATGTGTCCCTTTAAGATCAATCTTGCACAATGTACCGCTTAAATGTTGTAATAAAACCTCAAGATGTTCATCTTCAAAGCATTGAGAATTAATCAACACAAAAGTATAAAGTGGTGGTTTCGAACGTCTAAGAAAGGTATCCAATGCTTCTGATGAAAATTTCATTGGTCCTTCGAGTTCTAAATAGCATAATCTGATCAACTTAACTTGTTCTAATAATTCATTTATATTCAATAGAATTCTCTTATTCCTTATGATGATCGTTTCAAGAAATGGTGATGATGTGAAGACTGACGTTAGTTGCTCCGTTGATCCTATTTCTGCATCACATTCAAAATATCTAAGGTTTGTGCAATGTTCACAAACGGCATCAAGAATCGTTGTAGTCGATTGAAGACAATATTTCCATCGTTGAATGTATATAAACGATCTCAACGTTGAGC